AAATACACATGGAACTGGAGTGCTGCAGCTCCAATAGCTGCTCCTGCAGACTGTTTCCAGTTCAATGGTCTGAGTAAAAGAGAATTTGCATTTTCATAACCGTTGTAATAATGGTCACAATCATTATCATGATGGCTGACCAAAAAAAAAAAAAAAAAAAAAAAACAAAATTAGCAAGTCATTGAGTTTTTTTGTCTGTGTGGGCTTTTCTGCAGACTCACATCTGTCTCGTTTTGTCCCTTGGGATATTATTTTGCCCCAGTGTCAGTGGTAACGTGGATGTGGACATCTGTGACAGTCAGAACTATTTGTCTGCAGATTCTCTCATCAGCAGTCAGTCAGCACAGCATTTCCAAGCTGTGATACAGTGATTTGTCCATGCTCTTCCTTCAGGCTTTCCCTTCTAAATTCGTGATCTGTGTACTGAAGAATGACTCACTCTCGCGAGATCCAGGCATTCATTTACTGCCTTCTGAACAGTTTTTCTTTCTATTTTTTCTTCTACTGTGTTACTGTCTAATCACTATTCAAGATAATGAAATCAGATGTACTCTTGGTTCTCCATCAAGAAATTCCTTTTGCACTCACCTTTCCAAGTGGATTACTTTAAAGCGCAGGAGTCTGAAGAGGAAATAGTTCAAGTGTTTCACCCCTAATGATTTAAGGATATAGGAAAGACAGGTTTCACATGGAGAGATAATAAGAAGTAGAGGATAAGAACTAATAGGCAGTAAATTTTGAAAGGTGTAATAGTGTATTTTCTGTGATCAGCTAGATTCTACTGCTGCAGTGGTTTTTCTAGCAGAGTTCTGCAGTAGCACATAGTGGAGTGAGGAGAGAGATCCCTATTCCTGCAGCTAAGCCATCAGATGCCATTAGCTTCTCTGCTAAGTCTGCCTGGGTGAATGCATTCAAATACTGGGTCCCTAAGGAACGTCTCAGATAAATACCAGAAACATCCACTCACCCAGAATCAGGGCTTCTTTTGATAGACTGAGCAAATCTTGTTGTACATGTTATCTTGTTACATTTGTCTAGGTTTTGCTTTGTATGTTTGTCTTCAAACTGACAGGCACCTCAAATGTGCCTTTTACATGCTGAAATTTAGTGGTAGTTTAGTGTAAGCTATATGCACACAGGTACATGTCTAGAGAAGGCATTTTTTTGTGTTTTCCTAATTTTTTAATGTTTGTAATGTTTGTAAATGTCATCATGTGATCCGTATTGAGTACTATTGGTTGGGAAAGCATTTATAGACACCCAGATGTCAGAGCAGAGCAGCCATGGTGAAATCAATAGGACTGATCTAACTGATTTGACTACTCAGTAAGCTTTGGCAGATGCTTTTCATGTCAGTGATTAAATTAAAATATTTTTCTCTGCAAAAGAGGTCTCTGCCTTCTCCTCAGAGGGTGCTATCCCTGTTTCCCATTTTTATTCTGTACGCTCATCTTTATTCAGTAATCAGTGTTACTGTCTCTTTTAAATGGGTAAGAAACTAAGGGTCATTTAAAATCATTTTGATTCACAGAAGAAATTCATAGGCTGAAAATCAGTGCCAGGACTCAAGACAGTTAGATCATTGCCTTAATCACAAAGTCATCTGGTCTCTCAATAAGCTGCATGATAAGCAAGCTTACACACATATATACCTATATATGTAAATACAAAATCTACATAAAATTATTTAATGATATAGAAACAAGAGCTGTTTTTTGGGGGTGCTTACTCTAGGGTGTGTGACACTTATTAGCTAATCTAAGCTAAACAGTTTCTGACTGTGTTGCTCTTTGAACAGCTTACAGTTACCCTGTTTAGCATGGAGGGGAGAAGGATTTGGAGAGGCATACAAATGTGGATATTTAAAAAATATTTTTTCTTAGAGGAAATACATTTCTGTAGAAAGTGAGAGATAAGTCAGACAAAATGAAGAACAATATCATTCTCAAGTAGTTTTTTAGGCAGAGAGAGGAATTGCACGCTTCTGAGAGCCTACATTTTGGTGCTTCAGTTGTGTAGAGAGTAGCAATGAAAAATGATCTTCCCTCCCTTCATTTCTCAGAAACAGCTCTTTCCACTGGTCTTGAAGGTGTTTCTTTACTTCTGTCTTTTAATAGTGTATCTCACTAGGTGAGATTTGCAGGTCAAAATTAAAAAAAAACTCCAAAAGCTACATTTAGGCATAGCAGTAGAGCCTGCCTGGAAATCCTATCTTCAATAAAATACAGATTTCACCTAGAGTCTGAGGAACATGGTACAGTGAAGAGCAAATTTTGTATTTGGTGAACTAGGTCTGCATCCTCCCATCACACTGCTGGATATGTCGCTGTTTTAATAGGAGAGAAAATACCCATTGATTTCAAAGGATTTTTGGTCAACCTGGCAGGGTATTGGCAAACCCCAGAGATTTCTCATGCACCTGCAGTATATATTCCTATACCAACCTTACTAACTATCCTTCTACTTCAATGTTGCAGAGAGCTTCTGCAGAAAGCAATTAATCCTGAACCTTGTCTCTAAGGAAGGTAAAGATGGAATTGTCGTAGGGCAGGTAAAATCCAGGTCTCTTTGATTAGCTGTGCACAGATACTAAGGTAAAATGATTCACAGACCTTTGTTTAGATATCCTTCAGATACATCCAAGCTTATTCTCCCAGACTGGAGAGCTTCCATGAGAGAGGACACTACTGTGGAAGGAATATTATTAGACAAAAGAGCCCATTGATAGGAAGCCCCTGAACGAGGAATGAGAGGTATGACCAGGAGGAGAGTGATATGATATATCTGGAGCCACAAACTAAAGCAAAAGTGTATTGGTTTTGGCTGGGCAACTCCTAGAGCAAGCAAAAGAGCATACTTAGCTGCTGAAAGCCACACAGATTCCTCACAGTAGGACACAAGACAATCACAAATCTAGCTGGCACTGGCTATGCAGTGGAGGAAGCCAACTGGCTGTCTGGGGTGAGAAATTCGAGTGTAAGGTGGAAATGAGGGACAGTGGGAAACTAGGGATGGGAAACTAGATAGGAGTTTTGCTTCAGCTTTGTCAAGTTCACTGGTACAAAGTGATAGTCAAGTTCAAATGCAAAGAGAAGGTGGAAAAGAAAGTGCTGAGAGCAAAATTGAACTGAAAATGGTGATGATGGGGAATCACTTGGAAGCTGCTTTGAAATTATTGACTTGGGTTTGATTGCCACGTGGGGGAGATCTAAGCCTAAACAGTTCTATTCCAGCTGTGTCACGTGGAAGGAATCCTTCAGCGGGCACAAGGTGAGGCTCGACACTGTCTTTGTGACTGGTGGTACAGCTGAGTGGCTTCACCAAATCATACTGCCAGACAGCATGTGAGGACCTGGTGACATACCTGGAAATAGTAGAGGTGTTTCTGGAACAAAGCAATTAATAGCTGGTGAAAAGCAGAACTCTTCCTACCTTCGGCCATGCTTTAAACTTTCCCCATTGCGGTCCTTTCCCTCTGAAACATGCATACTGGATGTAGGAAACACACAAACAGATATATCACCATGGATTGTATGTCCAAAGTTTCAAAGATACTGAGGATTCTGTAAAAAGGCCAAATGCTTCCTCAGGCAGGAAGTTAGATGGAGGTTTTGTAGGTTTATGAAATAGTAAAAACTTAACATTCAAGTTAGCTTAAGTAAAATTTGTTTTCTCCACCATGATAATTTCTATAAGTATAATAAGCAGAATTGCTATAAAGCTTCCAAGATAATATAGTCCCGTGCATTGTGCCATGCTAAAGTGATCCAGAGGATACAAATGGGGCATCCATCAAAGAAGAGTCAGTTAGGATTGAAAAATAGACTTGCAGATGCCTTCATGTGAAATATTGAAGTACCACATGAAGCAGCTAATAGCAGGTTGCAGCTAGTTAATGGTGTTCAAATACAGATCCCTGATGGTTGCAGAATACAGGCACTTCTGAAAGTCTTGCTGAATACAAATCAGTTTATATCCCTGCCAACCAGGTGGCTGTGCAGTTTGTCCTTCATGGTATCTCACACACAGCATGCATGAAGTAATGATGTAGTCTAGGATCAGGAGAGACAAGTCATATGGGCTTAAGGCCATTTGTGTGTCCTCTTAGCAAGAACCCAGTATCTAAAGGTAAGATTCAATGGTCTGTGCTTTTGAGACCCTACCTTTGCCTTTAGTTTTATGTGTGAGGACTAACGGATTGCCAGAAATGTTCTTTGTATTGTATTTTCAGTCCAGACACACGAGTCTGGATATGTCAGAAAATTCAGGTTGACCTCTGATCTAGTGAAGCTGTGTGCCAGTATATATGTACTTGAGCTTTCAGTTATCTACCCTCCATAAGTACTTTCAAACCGCATGATGTTGATCCAGTGTGTGTTTCTCAGCTGAAGTTCTTCCCATCCAAAGTCATATCAAATTTTCTAGTATCTGCTTTCTGTTTACAAGCAAGAGAATCTGCAGATAGGCTTTGTAAGTGCCTTTATTACAATGTATTTCTAAGTATATATATGTTTTAAATGCTTACTGAAATGTTTATTTAATTATATTTTTGTATTACCAACAGCATGTTATACTTCACAGACATGTGGTTTAGCTGAAATTCACTACCTGTACGATAACTGTAGTGATGGTACCTCACACTGGAGCTGGTGAAACTCAGGCTCAGAGAAACAGTTGGCTTGTCTAAAAGCACAACAAAATCAGCTTTGGATTTGTGTCCACAACGCAGCTTTCCCAAGTCTGATCTGGTCAATACTTAGTATGCCTGGCCCATAGGAAGGCACTGGTTAGCTCTTGGTTATGGAGGACAGGGGAATTGATGGGAGTAAAGTAACTTTCAAAGAGTCATTCCCATAAAAAGTCAACATCCAGGTGACAGGGGGTTTGTTTTACACAGTGCATGCCAAAACAAGGATCTGTGCCTATCCCTGTCTGTGGGTCTTTATGAGCTCAGGATAACTGGTGCTGTATCTAATGACTCTACTCTTATTTCTGCTTAGTTTTCAGGACTTTACTTGTTGTCATTCTTCACTATCCTTGTTGGGTTGATGCTCTACTCCTCCACATCCACCTACGTAGCCCAGGATCCTCGGGTGTACAAGCAGTTTCGAAACCCTTCAGGACCTGTTGTCGACCTGCCAACCACTGGCCAGCTGGAGCCTTCGGTGACATACACCAGCCTAGGGCAGGAGACAGAAGAGGAGCCTCATGTTAGAGTTGCTTAAACCCAGGGCTGTTGATCACCTACTGACAGTGGAGCTCGTATATCCATTATCTCTGTATTGTACATAGAGAAAGGTATTTACCAGGTGCAGTTACACTGGTGAACTGCAAGGTAGCAAATAAGGAAAGCTCATAAAGAACACAAATTAATTGTTCCAGGTCGTTCATTGCAAAGAGATGCCAGTCCCTCGTTTACGATATGAGCAGCATGTTTGCAATACAAACAGCTGTGTATGAATCAGCTAATATCAAACTACCTGTGAAAGATATTCAACATATAAGATGAAATTACAGAAAGAAATTCATAGAAGGGTGTTTCTGCACCCACTGAGAGATAGTATGCCTAAGCCACACCAGTTGTGGAAAAAAACACCTTTTTACAGCAAGTACACTTTGTGCAGTCACTGTTAATTTCTCTCTAAGATTTGTTTGTTTGCACAAAATAGATGGGTTAGTCGTGGTAGCAACAGTCTGACACATTTTTGCTAGCACCTTGATTTGGTGAGGGAAATACAATGAGTTCATCTGTACTATCTGTCTAGTTGCCCTTTCTAGGTAATCTGTTCCATGAATCCAGAGAAGGGACAACTTACAATATCCGTCTCTATTCTAGGAATAGGTATAAGGCAAGCATTTTAGCCTTTCTATATTTGCAGAAGTGAAGTACTCAAGCATTGACCTCTCTATGATCCATGGCAGATTTCCTAGTGGCTGAGGTTCTGCATTAGGTGACAGGGAGTTAGTTTCTCTGTAGTCGTGACTTAACACAGATTTCTTACTTTTTAAATTTTAATCTGTAAAAAGAAAAACTCATTTTCTAGTTTCCTATGTATTGTACCTCTCCACAGTAAGATGACATATCATGTGGATCAGGGCACTTATTTTAGACACTCAGTGCATCGGGTGCACCTTCTGCTGTTCCAGTTTGCTTAGTCTCCTGTGGTTCATTATTCTAACAATAGCTATTTAGAAATGTGGCAGTTCTTCACCAAAACCCACAAATTGTAGAAATCAGGAAGATTAAGTGAAGAATTCATGAGCAGAAAGACTAGACCATCTGCTGGTGTTGCTGCAGTAACACAAAGGCATTCATACCAGCAGGGTGCAGCCAATTATTTTTCATTAACTATGAAGCGAGCAGAAGAATTCAGCAGTTTTCTTACATTCCTGGGGACATGTGAAAATAGTAAGAGTGTACTCCCCATTTCTATACACAACTGTACTTCTGCCTCAGGAGCCTTATCAGAATGGGGGAAATCTTAGTCACCACCATGACAAACCATCTCTGCCTGTATGTTTGCTCATCTGAGAGCCCAATAAAAGAAAATCATTATTTCACTATCCTTCATCTGTTTTTAATTTCAAACTAAGGAAGAAGAGATGATCTTATGTCTAACAGATTGGTGAGGGATCTAGGAGAGCTTGGTTTTATTCACAGATCTGCCACACCTTTGCATGATCCTTGGGCATGACTTACCTTCTGTGTGGCTGAGTTTCCCAATTTGCATATGGGAATAATGATATTTTACCTACCTCACAGGGGTACTATGGGACCAAGTTATTTTAAAATGCTTCAGGATATTTGGAAGGAAGGAGTTTAAGAAGGACATAATAGTGCTGTAAAAGTGTGTATACATTCATTATATTTGAAAATGGAGTTTACAGCTTGGTTGATGAATATTTTGCTTGTGGGCATAGAAGGTGAATTTGATTTGAATGTTATTCTGCTGAAAAAGACTGTCTCAAGTGAAAATGTAGGCCTTCATGTTTGAAAAATATAACTTACCTATTTCTATTTTAAAAAAAAGAAGAAAAAAATCAATCTGTACTCTGGAGATTAGAAAGGTCACGCAGTTCAACCAAGCAGGATGAATTTCTGCTGAGGTAACATTCATCTTTTATAGTCCTGTTCTGCTGTAATATAGAAGGAACTTCCCTGAAGCAGACTGGGGGAAGTGTATATATACATAATATACATGAAGTGGCAAATGCCAAAATGCTGTTGAACAGCAGAAGTATGTTGTATCCTATTCTTGCTGTGGAGGAGGAGAAGAGGTGATTTCTTTCCCACTGTGTTTAGGCTGTCTGCCACGATCCTGCTGCAGCTGAGGGAAGGGTCTGCAGCATTGCCAAATCATGCCCAAAACCTTTGGTTAAGATGGCTTAGTACTAAACTCCTAACAAATGTATGATCTTTTTTTCCCCTGCCTTCTGTTTATTTAATTTTTTTAGCACTTGTGCTTTCAAACTTTTTGTTTCTTAAACCACTGAGGATTTAAAAAAACAAAACTAAACCAGATCCCCACAGAAAAAAAACAGAGTCTGCGTTCTGGGGATATTAAAGAAAGTCCAAATCAAAAAAATAAAAACCACACAAGTACTATTACTTCAGGGTAAGACCCTTGAGTCAAGCCCCATGCCAGCTTTGACTTGAGGTGGATTTCGTACATTCCTCAGGAGCAGAGGCTCTGATTACAACTACCACAGCTCCCTCGGGTACCCAGAGGCACACTGATGGGCACCTGTCATCTCAGTCTTGTTTTTGCTACCTTTTGTACCAATTAAATACCTTTCTCTGAACATTAGTCCCCGTGTTGGTCTGAGAACCTTGAAGATTGTGTGCGTGTGTGTTTCATGTTTACAGTTCCTTCCTTTTGCATAACTGTTTTGATTAATTTCCTTTTAGTATTTATTTTTAAGCCAAATGTTTGTAGTCCTTCAGCCTCCCCCTCCTCATTTTTCTGACACTAACTTGTAGATGTTTGTTAGAGTCTTCTCCAAAACAGCTGGGCAGGAGGTGTCTCCCAGCTGGGCCACCAGGCTGGGAGTTTCTCCTTACAAGGGTTTGTGATCCACGGGTTGCTGAGAGGCGCCACCTGAAGCAATTTACTAGGCTCTTTGAAAAGGCTCTGTTGTACAGGAATAAGTTATGAACATTTCGGTGTGCCCTCTGCAACCAGCCACCAGCCCCTGTGCTACTTGCACAGGTGGAGTTTGATGTGCAAGGTGGGGCTGCTTCGCTGTCTGTGTTTCCCAATACACTAGGTGGATACTTGGATTTGCACCAGTATGCTAGCATTGGATGGACCTCAAGAGAAAACAGTAGTATAGCTTTGTCAGTAACTGTATTGACTGAAAAGCTGAGGTCTAGTGAAGGAAAACATTACTTCTACCTGCTTGTTTTCTGCAGTTGGAGACCTCAGTACACACCAGCAAAGGCTCAGCTATCTAACCGGCAGCTACTCTCCGTGTTGCGTAGGACGTCTCTAGCTCTTTGTAGCTCCTTGCCTGAACAAACCGAAACTCTGTTATACTGCTAGCCCTGGGCAGCCCTTAGCAAGACTGATGTAATTTTCTGCTACTGGATGAAAACCATCATTGGGAGACAGACCTTGTCGTTGTTCCAGCTATAAAGTTTCAAAACACACAACGATAGACCAAGCAATTGAAAATTTTGCACCACTGTGTCATAAGAAGAAGTTTCAATGTATAGTGTAGAGATTGCTAACTTGTGCTATTAACATTTTGACAAGCGTGTAGTATTGTTTGCTTTCCTTTTTTTAAAAACCATTTAGTATTCCTGAGCTAGCTAAAAATATAAATTTTACCCCATGGGTAGGATTTTATTGTTAAATGCCATAATAAAGCACACTAATCTTGACACCGCAGATGGAAATATGAGCCAAAACCAAAACCAGGCAAACAAAATCCCAACCCCAAATCCTGCATTGAAAAGCTGAACTCCATTTTGATATTTGCATGCACCTATATGGACTGGCTGTGGCAATGTAATGCCTGTATAATGTTTTCAAATAAAAAAATAAATGCTTTATGAAAGCAGGGTTATTGGTTTGCTTGCCTGTTTCCTTTCTGCTGTCTTAGCCTTAAATGATTTTTCGGCAGAGTAAATCTTGACTGCAGGGCATAATTTTTCACTGTGCTGAGGACTTCTTTCCCTTGTGAGGTGATTAACCTACAACTCTTTCCAATGCATCTAAGAATAGATGCCATCAGGCATCCTCAGGTATCTCGCCTGGCCCCAGATGCTGCTCCAGAAGGATGAGGGTTCACCTGCACACCTTTATCTTAACCTGCCATTCCCCATGCCTAGCTTAGGTATCCTGGTAGTCATTGCCCTCATTTGGATGCAAAAGCACTCTCCCCACTGCCTCCCAGAAATTATTAATCAGTCTAGAATTCATCTGGGGTGACACACGTGTGATGTTGAAGGGCTTCTCTGGTAGAGGTTACTGAGTGGCTGTATCTGCCGTGCTCAGCCCTTCCTCCTGGCTGCTCTGCCTTGTGCTGCAGCAGTATTCCCAGCAGCATCCTGAAACAGGAAAATAAAGGATGGAGATAAAAATTAGGCATTGGGGGGAAAGAGCGTCAGGAGGAGCAGAATCGGGGAAAGAAAGAAAGAAAGAAAATGAGGCTTTGACTCATTGAAAGTTCACGTGGAAAGGAAAGGAAGATTCTTGGTCTGTGAGAGCAGGGGATTTTATGAACATGCATTCATTCACCTTCAAGAATGTTTGCCAGCATATGCATCTATCCATCCCTCTTTGCCTGATGTCTCCACAGGAAACTTCACATCAGTTTTTCTCACAATACTTCATTGCTGGGAGTGAAAAAGGGAGTGAAGAGTGGTGAGTTCATTTCCAGCCCCAGACGTTACAAAGCCAGCAGTGCTGTCCCCATTTGCTGGTTTGTCTGATATTTCAGGTGAATGTTTCCTAATTTATTGAGAGCTCCAGAAACTGACTTTAGTGTGTGTGGCTTTATCATGCTAGCAGTTGATTTGTATTTTCCTCCAAATCTGCTCAAGAGTCTCTCTGGCATTACAAAATTATCCTTTTATTGCCTGGCTGGAATTCAGCCTGGGTACTTGAGTCATATGAATAGTAATTGCTTGGATTTACCCTAAAAATAGATCATAAATAGGCATTAATGAATATTTCTCTTCTTAAATCAAGCATGTTTTAATGCTGAAGGACACTCAATCAGCTTAAAGCTACCAGTCTCCCTCTGTTTTTGTTTGTTTAGAGCTAGGTCCCAAAACACACACAAATCCAAAGCTTAACAGCCATATGCTATGGCATGCAAATAAAAAAGAAGTGCTTTCTTATAGTTAGAAAAGTTGTTTTGTTATGTCTGTGCCACAATTGTAAGCAAAATAATTGCCAAATAAATAATAAATAAGCCAAACCTTTGAGAAAGGGAACACCTCTGCTTTTACAGCCATAGACCAGTTCCCACAGCAATTGCAAAGTGGGTACAAAACACCAGCAATGCAGCAGTGATGATAATGGATTAGAGCATTGTCTGTGTCCTCCTCCTTCACATTGAAATGCAGGGTCATGCACTGTGGTATTTATTATTAAAAACTCCTGCTATATGGAAGACATTCATTCCAGAGGGCTGGAATCAGTAATCTGTGATTAGTCACGGAGTGGCTGTAAGCCACCAACAAGCCCCACAAATCGGCCACAAAAAAGCCAGTTGTAACCCTCAGATAACTTGCTTTGCAGTTGGTATTTCAGTTTTGCTCACTGGCTGGGTGGCACAGAGAAGTGTCCACGGTCCTGGAAAACAGCACAGGTGCTCTGTGATCCCTTGAGGTCACTTGGGTGGGTGCAGGGGGAATCACTAGCACTGTGCTGCCTCTCACAAACATTTGTCTCAGCGAGAAGGAGCCACTGCTACCACTGCTGTGATACAGCAACCAGGTGGAGGAAATAGACTTGGCTCAGTTAATCATGAGGCTTGAAGCAAAAAATCAGCACTGTGTGCAGTCCTTTCTGCTGTAAAACAATACATTTGCTATTATTTCAGGGCTTTTCCCCCCCCTTATCCTAGAAGTTCCATTTTTAATTGAAAATGATGCCCTGAGTTCCTCTGGTATTCATGGGGTTAGAATTTGCCTCTTTACGAATAGTCTAATGTTGTGGAATCTCTTTAAGAATACGGATATTGTCAATCCTACAAATATACAAATATTTGTAGGCTGAGACAAGGTGAATC